CAACCCATGTCCATTTTCTGTTGTCAGTGTCATCCTGGAGAGGATTTGAGAAATACTACTGATTTTTCTCATTATTTCTCAAATCATTTTATTCCCCTGAGCATCTGCAAAAGTATCATGTTAGAAACATAGGTAGCACATGAGATACTTCAGAAAGATCAGGGTCCAAAAAACTTCTGGGGTAGAAATAACTGGTAATTTGTGATCAGGAAGTCTGGAAAAACAGCTTCAATGAGGCCAAGTTCATCACCTTCAGCATGCTGAACTTCTGCAGTGTGTGGGTGTCCTTTGTTCCCACATACCTCAGCACAAGAGGAAAGTCCTTGGTGGCCATGGAGATCTTCTCCGTCTTGGCTTCCAGTGCTGGCTTACTGGGCTGCATATTCTTTCCCAAATGCTACATTATTGTGCTGAGACCTGAGCTGAAAACCAGAGAACAGCTAATGCAAAGAAAGATGTAAATCATGGAGGAATTCATATTTTCATCCATTTTAGTTTATTTCGGGTTTTGCTTTTTTTTCTCTCTCTCTCGGTATTGTAGGGACATTGTACACTATGCGTGTTCTCCAGCACAGTAAAGCCTGACTCACTTGTGCGTCACATGATTTTCAGCCAACTGTCTTCTTCACTCAATTTTTGCTGTTATTCCCCAGAATGCGTCAAACCAGTCATATCTCTCTTTTTAATATCTTCTAGTTTCCCCTGTGTGTGCGTTTGTAAATGTGTCAGTGTGCATGTATGTATACACATGCACACACACACCTGTCAGTGTGCGCTAAACTCTGAGTACTGTTTTCTGGCCAGGAGATGTGATCTTAGCAGGCTGGAGCTGATGGGGAAGAGGCATTTTCTTGATAGGACTTTAGCAAAACTTGGAGACCAGTTTAGTTTCTCTCTCTTTCTCTCTTTCTCTGATAGGGAAATAGAATATAACTTTCCTGTCCCATACCCGGTACTTTCAGAGTTTGCAATTGTGCTTTTAAACCTATAAGGCTGATGTTC